TTAAGAAATGAAGAGAAAATGAAGAGACTGCAAGAAATTTCAAAGCTTTTAATCAGAACAAAAATAGAAAATGTAACATTTCACCTTGTTTGAATAGTGAGCAAGCACGTTCACCAGGCTAACAAGAGAAAGCCACTGCCATTTTTCCTGGACATGAGTCAGACATTTAAATTTCAGGTACTGTTGGGCTTCTGACCACATTTAAGTTCAGGTTCATGTTAGCCTGTTGAAACCTGAAACAGTGTGGGGGAAGCAAGCACAGAAGTCAAAAAATCTAAATCACAAACCTTCTGACAAGTAAAACAACAAAACAATAAAGAACATATTTTTCATGTGCACATTCAGTATTTTTCATCCAGAAAGCAATGAAAACAAAGTTTAAATTGCCTTCCTGTTTAGTGCTGCAGGTGTTTGAGGGAGAGGTCATGCAGGCAATAATATCAACCTTCAGTTTATTTAAGTGAACTTATACCATTTTTCCAATTCTCCCACTGTCTGGCATAGACAGAGAGATAGAAGACCACGAGAGACACATAAACAGGAGGAAATGCAAGGAGGCAGGAAAAAACAGCTAAGGCAATCACAGGACAGCCCCAGCCAACTCTGTAATGGAGTCTTTTCCAAGCATTTTTACAGGGGCCTTGAAGCCTTCTGGTAGGGCCACCTCCTCTGCCATCCACATGCACAAATGCAACTGAAGTAAAAACCTAGAGCTTATTAGCCAGTAAGAACTGAACGAAAGAAAAACAATGACAGAAACTGGAAATTACTCTAATATGCTTATCTGATAAAGCTCACTCTTTGGTAAATCACAGGTGTAGATTCCAGAGAGCAATAATTATTTTGAATACCCCAATTTAAGTTTGACAAAACATTTTTTTTTTTTTTGCCATCTACCATCCCTGTTTCCACAGTGATCCAGAATCTCAAAGCCTTCCTAGGCCCCATCACCTACACCTGTGTTTTTCTTCTTGTAACCTCTATCTGAGATAAATATAATAATTCTGTGTGGTTTTTCTATTGCAGCTGAAAGCTACTAGGATGTCTCAAGCACTAAAGACAGCTTCTTGGAAAGACTTCTGACAACACATTTGTCATCATGACTGCAGGTAAAAATTCCCACATCACTAGTATCCAGCCTCTCTTACCTGGGACACCAATTTTCTTTGTAAGAAACAATTCAGCCGTCATTTCACCATCAGATTTTAAGAAAATTGGGGCAAAAGCATTCTTAGCCACAGGGGAAACACCAAGGGGAGCCATAGTGATTACCAAAATTGCACAGGACAGTCCAGTACCGTTCACTAAGCTGTGAAAACCTTTAAGCACTCCGCACCAAGCCCTTTAAAGTTGCAAAGATTTGACAAATAAATGTTGATTTGGAAGTTGCCCTTTTTTTCAGTTTATATATACACAGCCACAAAAAGCAATACCAGATGCTTTTAGCAGAGCCTGCTAAAAACAGTAAGAAATAATTTAAACTATAACACTTGCATTATGTCCAGATACTCTCCAAAAATACAAGAGACACTTGCAAACTTATGAGCTGATAGTCTCATTAGAGACAAGATGTTCATAAAAAAGAGCATAACAAAAACTGCAAGACACACTAAAATACCACAGCGTTATTACACAAATTTGCCGTTGCACAAGTTGAGGGTTCCAAGACAACAACTTCTTGAAGGTAAACAGGAAGCACGAAGGAATCGCTCATGATGCTGGTGGGGCTGCTATCAGCAGGCACTTTGCCACCCTCCACACCTCCTATTATGAGCAAAACTTGCAACACTGGTAGGAATGAAGAGAAGTTGAAGTGGGGTAAAAGGAGGGGCAGGAAAGAGGCACCAAATATAGCTGAAAATGTAAGATTAAAAAGCTAACCTGAACATCTTGCATTTGTGGTGACTGAATGACTGAGGGCTGTGTGGCTTGAATGACCCCCTGCACATGCACAGTTTGACTGGAAGGCAACTGCCATAGACCTAGAGCTGGAGATCCTCATCGAGCACCTGAAACCTGCAGAAATTACAGTCTCACACTCAGGTGACATGCCTGAAGGTTTCAGCAAATATTTTGAGATGTGACACTAGAGTGAGCTGGTTTTTATGCCCCATATCAAAAAAAAACTTGTGTGTGTCATCACCATACACAGAAAAAACAGCTTTACTAGCAAAAATTTAGTGTGCATCTTTCCAAATGAGTAATTGAAAGCTTAAAATTTGTCACGTACAAAACGGTGAGCCTTTTTTTTTTTTCCAGAGACTTCAACTTTTCTTGATTAAAAGCTACTCTGAGCTATCAAAGACTAAATCTGCTGCCTCCAGCATGAAGGTTAGCAAAAATCTTACGACATGTAACCAGAAATATCAGAACATGTTAAAGTGATGTTTCTGCAACAACACATGGGCACTATTTACTTAGCTCAAAAAAAAAGTTCAAAACCTTTTTTTTGTTTTGTTTTGTTTAAAATTGTAAGTTTAGATTCAACTTTTGCTCCTCAGGCAACTGTCCTGAGCCATTACTTTTTTGAATAGCAAAATGATTGTTGGAATAAAAAAATAACCTCTTAGATTTGTGAAATGTATAGTTTTAAAACACCTTTGTTATATGTTCCACAGTACCAAAACAGTTCAAAACTGAGCTGTTGCCAACAACAACAAAAAGAATAAAGGACAGATAACTATCTTCTTCAAAGCTAGAACAATTGAAAAATAATGGTAGCTCTCTCGCATTTGGGAATATATTTGCCCCTTCTTTCTGGTAAAGTTTCAGAGCACACACCTTTGCCTGGCCTATGCTTCTTAGTCAACTTCATCCAAAGGACAAACGGGTTAAGAAACAGTTAAAACATCTATGGATGACAAAATAGCTCAGTATTGAACCATTAAATCTATTAACAAAAACAAATACTGAAGGGAAAAATTTATGACATATTTCTCTATGATAAAACATCTCTAAACTCAGATACAGAAAGAAATGACAAACAATATCACGGCTATATGATAGAGATATTGTTTGTGTTTTTCAGAAATTCAAAGTGAACTTCATTAAAACCCCTTCTATCTTCTGTGGGTACAAGAATGAATCATCACTCATATCTAAAAGTCTGGTATTTCCCCCTACTAGGCTTGGCTCTCAGTCAAAAAAAAAAAACATATCTGGTGAAAAAAGAGATCATCTGCTATTGCAAAATAATCTATGACAACAAATTTCTGAGCACTAGAGGGTAAAAGAGATGACAGTGACAAGAAAATATGACACGACTGACTAAAAAGAAAAGTTGTTAGATAACATGTTTTGAATTTATTCCATATTCATGTTGGAGAATTTGTTTTTGAATTAAAAGTACTGAAGGTTAGAGAAAGTTTGTAATGATTATTAAGATGCATTATTATCAAAAAGACCAGATGTTGACTCAAATTATCTTCAAGAAACAATGTTTCTAGGAAACAGAGACAGGATCTTGTCAGCAATCACTACCTAATTGTTCAGTTGTTATAGGAAACTGAACAGATTCCCAGGAAATAAAACAATTGAGGGCATTTCTAATCTGTAAAGGGAAACAATTATTCCTTAAATGGTATTAAATGGCAACATGCAAATAAGATACAGAAACCTTCTTCCCATTTATAAATAAACATTACTATTAAGAAGTTATTTGAGACTAGGATCTACCAAGTCTTGAAGACATAAAGAGTACGATCATTTTGTATGAGGCAAAGGATAGGACCAAGCTTCAAGGGAAAACCTTGGAGATAGGGTAAGCATTTACAGAAACACTAATTTTTCAAAACATATCATAAAGACAATTTCACCAAACTTTTCAGTTTCCAGTCCTCACAAAGATAGCAGTAATCTGATGCAAAACCCTAGTGCTTCCGAAAGACCATTCCGAGTATGACACACACAAAACAGCACAACGTGAACCCCGGTTTATTGCTGGCTGTGTTCAGTACACAGTGCGTCAGGCACACGCAATCAGGAAGTAAGCCAGCGTTCAATATTAAAAAACATGGTGTTCACTTAAAAACTCCTTATTCAATCTACCTACACAAAAGAAAAAAAAATCCAAAACTCAGCTAATACTTTTCCAGACTAAATTATACAACTGAACAAGAAGTGTTTTGTTCCCTTCAATTTATATAAAAGATTAAGTGGAGAGGAGGCAGGACAGAGACATTACTTTTAAAAATGAGTGAAAACAAAAATGCGCAGGCTTGTTCATTCCTATTTTAAACAGATAACTTGATTTGATCATAACTTGCTAAGTTCTACAAATATCTAAAAGTTACACAGTGTGCAAAGTCCTGGTATCATAACATCTGTGAGCAACATGTTGTGTCTATGATTTTTTTGCATTAGGTTTATTTTCTATAATTGAGATTTTAAAATTTATCTTTAATCTCATGTTTTACAAGTATTTTCACAAATATTAAATTGTTAAAGCATTTTTGATTCACATTTCATTTTGCATTATTTTCAAATCACATCCTTCTGCATTAACTGAAATACTAGAACCTTTTGACATATGAGGCTATCAGGCTGCTCACGCAGAAACGCTGACTGAACACAGCCTTGACAAAAAAAAAATTACTTTCTGACATCAGTGATGAGCAATGCTACCTATAATATCAGCATTTCAAGGGCTGTCTAGCATAAAGACTGAAAACAACCCTCAGAAGCAGCTAAGTAACAGAGGATGAGGGAAATGCTCAACTCATTAGA